AAATTGTAGGAATTCCACAACTAAGGTATCATTGTTAATTCTAAAGGATTCCTTTTCGCATATAGGGCCGTCACCTCAATACGCTTTTGTAGTTTCCACCGAAGGTAGGTCTTTATGAGTGGATTTGCAGAGAGTAGTCTGTTAAACCTTAGCGCAGGTGTTGTCAACCAGGGTAAAGGAATCCTCTAGGGGACCTCAGGGTTTCGCATGGAGGAAAAATCATTTACTTTTTCATATATTTTATTTACAGAATTTGGAGCGTATCGTGAGTGTAAAAAAAAAAAACAAACTGTATGATGAATCTTACTTGCATTATTTACATCATTCGGACTTGTTATCCTCATTTTCATTGCCATATTCACAACATTTCGGCCGTTGTACTCTTCGGCCTTCTTCAGGTGATTTAAATTTCGAACTGAACCCTTTATTTCGTTCTCCGGGGGGGGGTAGATTGTTCTAGTTCCACGTGCCATGCCTCTTCTGGTTATCTCCCTTTAACTCAACTCTTCAGGTTTTTGTTCATCACTGCGGTAGCCAGGTATTGAACTCACAACTGTTTGGGTAAAGTCTAGTGGATCCAACCAACGCTTTTATCCAGTGGCCGATGTGTTCGAAATTGCAATCTTCTGAAGAAGGTCGAAACGTCGTGAATATAGTAATAAAGATGAGGACAACAGTCCGAACAATGTAATACCTCGTCTCAGATATATCGACATTTTTTGTTTTTTACTGTTTCCATTCTTTACGGTGTTTTATTTTTATTATCCTTGGTTTCCTTCCCTCTGTAGATTTTATTTTTACATACAATTTTAATATATCCATTTTTATAGAATTAATTTTAAGCAATGTAAATGTCGATTAAATCTGTCAGAGACGTCGTGAAAATGATTCTTCGGACTGGTGGCAAGGTTTGGCGGAAAATCCAATTTTGATTCGGTTTAAAATACACCATTCTTTGGTTATTAAATTTGCGCCAGTATTTTTTATCTTAATATTCCAATGTTCTAGGTCGACAATCAAGAAGAGCGTCGTATAAAGTAGCTTCCGATGAGATGTGAATTGCCGAGAATTCGTAGGATACTTTAAAGTCTCGTCGGAAGTTTCCTTGTTAGTTCTTGGCACTGCTTTCTGTAAACGAGAAAACTGTGATAGAATGTAACACTGAAAGGATAAAGGAACGGCCAACTCAGCATTCAAATAATTTACGACTCTTTCGTTATTTGCAATTGTGTGAATAATTTTATTTCCTTAAAGTTTAGGCTATTCAGTCAGCGAGTCTCACTTCCTGGAAACATAACAAAACAAAACAAAAAAAATATTAAAGGGAAGGGAGACAACTTGCCAACAGATGGCGCTGGCTTCAATTCGGGAAAAAACGTGCAACGGAATTCAATAACAGTATGAAGTTGCTGAGATGAAAACGACAGATAAAAAGTAACACGAACGATCGATACAGCGTACGACAATGTTGGAAAGGAAGGAGAAAGAAAAGAAAAGGTAATACATATATATATATATATATATATATATATATATATATATATATATATATATATATATATATAACTATGAATTAAGTAAATAAAAATAATTACAAACAACCATATATGTGTGCGATATCACGCATATATAAATTTGCAAATAAATATTTTATTAATTCTGGGTGTTAACAAAACCGCTCCGTGTGGTAACAAGCTAAAAGGAATATATATATATATATATATATATATATATATATATATATATATATATATATATATATATATATATATATATATGAACATGAAGAAATATCGTTTTAAGGTGTACTATATTTATGGGATAAAGTGCTCAATATCAGAGATAGAGCGTATGTAATTATAAATATAAAAGTGAACATTGATAGTCATGCTGGACGCAATCGTCAGGCTGAGTTCGAATTCCAGTCAAATCCATTACATTCACTTATGTGCTAATACCCAAGGGAAAGGTGTGAATTTTTTTATTCTTCGTCAAGCTATGGGTAAATAGTTCTATAGCCTTAGATGGCAACTGGTCTAAGAGAAGGACAACTCTGCGGAGGGTTGTTTGGGGACCTTGTGGCACTTAGTGTACCAGGTCTCTGTATTCAGCCCTTCAAAAAGTGTGGATGGTCTTGCACGAAACCTTCACCACTATAATCAAATCTCATGTGCTGTTGTCGGGCTGTCGATTTCCTGGGAACTGATCTGCTTGACCCTCATGCGTCGAATTCGACGGGAGAGTCGAGTATATATAATATATATATTGATATACATAAAGTATATATTAATAAATATAAAAATTACCTAACGTCAAAAGTATGACCCGGTCTTCAAGTACTTACATCATCATTATAATTATATACCGCAATCTTCAGGTGATATAATTACCTGAAGATTCTGAATTTTTTTTCGTAGTTAATACACACACACACACACACACACACACACACACATATATATATATATATATATATATATATATATATATGAATAATTGCTGGATTTAAGGGTACCCGTCTACTAGGGCCTATCCCTATTTCAGACGTTCGCTCAGGCACATTTTGTGTTTGATCAGCACGCACACATATATCGTGTTATCTAGCGTGATCAACACTTTGAACAAGGCCAGCACGCCCAAGCCCTCAGTCACGATGACTTGTGGCTTTGTTCTAGCACAGCTATCGACGGCCATCAAGAGTTCCGTCTACCCAATCTCACTCATACTATGGTTTCCAGGCAGTATTCATTCCGATAACATCCTTCGTGACAAATAGAGCATGGTGAGATTCGAACCCTGGTGTCATGTTCAGAAAGCGAACGTTCTAACCACTCGACCACGCGCCTGCCTCTGCCCCTCCCCCCCTCTCTCTCTCTCTCTCTCTCTCTCTATATATATATATATATATATATATATATATATATATATATATATATATATATAGAGAGAGAGAGAGAGAGAGGGCACAGTGGATTAATGGTTACCGGCTTGGATTGAGGAATCGGAGAGCCGATTTCGAATGCCATTACATTCACTTACATTGCCAATACATTCTTGAGAAAGGTATGAATCCTCTTCTTCCCTCCAGCTACGTGTAAACAGCCTTGATGGAAACTGGTAGGAGAAATCCTCTGAATTCAAAACCTGCGGAGGGTCGTTTGGGGACCTTGTGGCTCATAGTGCACCAGGTCACTGTATTCGGCCCTTCAAAAGTGTGGATGGTTCTGCACAAAAAATTCACCTCTATAATCAAATCTCATGTGTTGTGTGGGCTGTCGCTTCCTAGCAACTGATCTGTTGGACCAGCATACGTCGAATCGACAGGAGAGTCGAATATATATATATATATATATATATATATATATATATATATATATATATATTATATATATACCTTAATCAATCTATACATCTGTCAAATTAAGTATTTCCCGAGTCTCGCATTTGTTCGTGAATTATTTATGGTTCTAATTCTTTATTTAGTTATTTATGCCGTTGTTATAGCTATTATCTTTATCAGGCAGATTTTACAGTTTTTTTTTTATTTATTGTTGAAGAAATTCCTTTATTTTACATGATATATTTCATGTATTTTGTGTATATTTTGGTTTTTGATTTCCCATATATCATTAGAAAGGGTTGTACTATTCATTTCCCATATATCATTAGAAAGGGTTGTACTATTCACGTATTTACTATTGGTAAAGATTTTTGTATGCATAGTTTCTGTTTACAAGGTTCTTCACTTACGCCGATGTATATTTTTCTTCGTTATCTTCCGATTTTACATTGCCTTCGTATATCATATTGTTTTGCTAGCAACTGTCATTTAAGAGCCATTCGTTCTTTGGCCTGCACTTAAAGGTGGGTTTGGTTTGTGCGAGGGGGGGGGTTGTTGGTTATTTTACTGTTGCGATTTTTTATTTTTTGTGTCATGTTCCCGGTGTAACTGTAGCTTATATTTACTGTTTTTCTATTAAATATCTTATGGAGAGTGCCGAGTTTTGAACGGTGCGTTAAACCATACGATATTTCTTTTCGTTTTTCGCACTGTGTGGAGTTAATGTGAGTGTTGCTTAAACTAGACTACCTTTAGAGCTGTTTCATAATCTTTTTTTTTTGGCTTTGTTGAAGATTGTTTCATTAGATGTATTTGTTAGATAAACTATGGTTAATTTATTGTGGAGTCATGATATATATATATATATATATATATATATATATATATATATATATATATATATATATATATATATATAAATTTAAATATTTTTTAATTTTTTTGCCCTTCGAACTTAAGAATTTGAATAATATAAATTACAAATAATTAATTTTAATATTTTATTTTTAAATAAACAACTCTATATAGAGTATATATATATATATTAAAATTTGCTTCACGTACGCACACATAGATAGATAGATAGATAGATAGATAGATAGATAGATAGATAGATAGATAGATAGATAGGGATACGTAGAGATAGATGATGAACAAAATCAGATAGATAGATAGATAGATTACTATTTTGTCATGGTCATTTCATATAGACAGAAACCAAACAAAGTCTTAATAAATTATAATGTTGAATGCTTTAAAACGAGAGCCACGTAGTGCGAGTCAGTGTTTTTATCTCGTAGTTGCAACCTTTTCAGTGGCTTTGTTTCAACGAAAGGAAGTTCCACCTACGCAACCCAAACACCGGCTTGGTTAATGTGTCAACGTAAATAAGTTTCATTATTTTATTTACGCAACTATCGATTGATCGATCCATCGATCTGGCGATCTTTTGCACCTATTGTCGTCATCAGCTTATATATTTAGACATCTAAAAGCCATCCTTTTAGCTTGCTCTTTGAATATTAATCTCTTGAGTCTGATCATTGAAATGACATATACATACACACACACACACACACACATATATATATATATATATGTGTGTGTGTGTGTGTATATTTATTAGTAGTAGTAATAGTAGTAGTAGAAACAAAATAAAATGATTCACTTAACTTTTTTTTTTACTCAATCTTCAGTGTTTTCTTTTTGTAAACTCTCTCTCTCCCTCTTCCCCCTCTCTCTTTATATGCAGCGTAAAGAAGTAAGATTTTTTACACCTGGCAGTCACTATATTTGCCTAAATATGAACATAAAACCTGCAAAAGCCTATCTATCTATCTATCTATCTATCTATCTATCTATCTATCTATCTATCTCAATCCTCTCTCTCTCTCTATCTATCTCAATCTCTCTCTCTCTCTATCTCATCTATCTCAATCCCACTCTCACCATCTCTATCTCAATCCTCTCTCTCTCTATCTATCTATCTATCTCAATCTGCCTCTATCTATCCATCCATCTATTCATCTCATCTCTCTATCAATCTCAATCCTCTCTCTCTCTATCTATCTATCTATCTCAATCCGCACTCTCTCTCTCTCTATCTCTCTATCTCAATCCGCACTCTCTCTCTCTCTCTATCTATCTATCTCAATCCGCACTCTCTATCTATCTATCTATCTATCTATCTCAATCTATCTATCTATCTATCTATCTATCTCAATATGCACTCTCTCTCTCTCTCTCTCTCAATCCGCATCTATCTCAATCCGCACCTCTCTCTCTCTATCTCTATCTCTCTATCTATCTATCTATCTATCTATCTATCTCAATCTGCACTCTCTCTCTCTCTCTATCTATCTATCTCAATCTCTAATCCTCTCTCTCTATCTCTATCTCTCTATCTCATCTATGTATCCAATCCACACTCTCTCTCTCTCTCTATCTATCTATCTATCTATCTCAATCCGCACTCTCTATCTATCTATCTATTCATCTATCTATCTATCTATCTATCTATCTATCTATCTATCTATCTATCTATCTATCTAAGCCAAAATATATTTGTCGATAATCGGTCTTTAGCTCTAGCCGTCTTTGAAGACAGTCGTTGGAGAATGTGTCGTATTTAATGAAGTCATTTTCCGTTCTTTCTTTAATTCCTCGCATTTATCTAGCGTTGCACGCATGTCTTGTCCTAAACAAAACAATTAGGCATGCTCCTAGAAACTTGCGGAAACTGGCTGTCTGTTTTGATATCGCTGTTTCAGTATTTTACATCTACGTCAATCAATCAATCTATCAATCTATCTATCTATCTATCTATCTATCTATTGCTGTTCATATCTATCTATCTATCTATCTATCTAGCTATCTATCTATTGCTGTTCATATCTATCTATCTATCTATCTATCTATCTTGTAACAATAAAGAAGTTAATGGTCAGAGTTGAATTAGACCAGGAAACAATAGTATTAAAAAGTGTCCAATAAACACGTAAAAAAGATAACAATTTAATATGTTAATATGTAGAGATTTCTGTATGAAAAAAAAAAAAACTAAGGAAATCAGCCGATTCCAGTATTTTGGTTTCAAACTTTCGGCATCTTCAGACAATTTCTGTCAGTTGATTTCCCGAGGCTTTATTTTTTCCGTCGTGCCATGATTCGAGGACCCGTCACGCAGACCAATTAATTTGTTCAGTCAATTCACACACAACTCCCCACAACTGTGGATTAATCGATTCTTCGGGATCTTTTAATGTCATTCGATATTTAACCTCTGTGGCTCGCAGACCGATTCACAGGAGTAGCGAGTTCGAACCTTGTATATGTGTATTCTTTCTTTCTTTAGAAAATTTTCTTTCTTTCTGTCTTTCTTTCTTCAAATAACTTTCTTTCTTTCTTTCTTTCTTTCTTCAGAAAACTTTCTTTCTTTCTGTCTTTCTTTTTTCAGAAAACTTTCTTTCTTTCTTTTAACCTTCTATTTTTCTCTCTCTTCACTGACTCTCTCTCTTCACTGACTCTCTCTCTCTCTCTCGTTGTTATTCTCTCTATGGTGACAATATCGAGAACGAGAGACCGGTATGAACGCGTACAAACCCGAAGGAATAGACAAAGGAGATCAACATCATCTCAATGGCCAAACTGACGGAAGAGGACTGCGCCGGTCGGGTTGACGTAACCAAGGCACACCTGACAGACCAAGCATCCGGCAGCCCGATGCAACCAGGTTTGCCTCCCTCAATCCCCTTTAGACGAGAGGGAGGCGCTTCTGGCTAGGTGTGCGGGCTTCGCCGTCGTGCAGAGTTTTCCACCAAAATCATATCTACGCGAATGGCCTCGTCAAAAGCTCTCGTTTACTCTTCAGCAAGCCCAGCGGCGATAGTTTCGCGGGTGACGAGTGCGGGCTGTGTCAACTGGAAGCCCTTAGTCTGCGCCCACAATTTGGTGGACGGTTCGTGATGGTCGCCTCCCTCATGACCTGCGATGAGGCGAGAATGCGGTCTGGCCTATTTAGAATTCCTGCAGTCCACACCAAGTGGGGAAATCATAGGACGTCTGGATGGCTAACAGCGGGCAACAGGCGACCCATACTTACGCTTAATCTTGTGTCATGGGTTGGCCCGTTAAACATCGACGTGCCTACTCGGAGTGAAACCAATATCGACGAAGGAAACATTGAAGTAATCATATCTTCCTATATCATCTTTTGGAAAGGAAAGGCGGCAAGCGGGTCTGGCTTTGTTGTGAAGACCAGACTCATTTATCTTGTCATCCATTGTGATAATAACAGATCTGCCAAGAAAGTTGAAATGCGAGAATTTGGACGTAAACTGACATCAGATGATCTAGCAATCAAATCACCGTTCTGTAGATTTTTAATTCCTAAGTGAATTGCTTTCACTTTTAATTAATGAAGCACTTTTTTAAATTAAAATTATGGCCAGACGCATTACAGTGAGTAACTGATGCAATGAGTGTGTTGTTTTATAAAAATAACCCTTTTATTCTGATATAATCTTCTATATATAAAATTTTATGACTTCCGTTTGTCCGTCCGTCACACCCTCTCAAATAGCCATTTTATTAACTGTAAAATTGAATAAAATTAAAGAAAATATTAAACCGTGATGTAGGTTTTTAGTCAAAATATTTTTCCAAACAAATCACTTTTGTCAAATTTCATCAACTGCTTTGCGCAACTGAACGAAACTTACAGTTTGTAAATTAATACAAAAAAAATGTTAGCAATAACTTCAACAAAAGAAAATACTGTGAGAATTTTAACATGCATCAGTGCGTTGCAAAAATATTCTAGTTTGGTTAAAATTCCTCGAGATTTCACTGACGTATTCCTTATGGCAATCATTATTGGTATATAGGGTGTTGAGTTTATGTCGAAATGTGTCGATTTGATTGTTGTCTATATATTTTATTTCCTGCTATATATATATATATAGTTGTATATTTAGGTAGCAATCCTTCGTTTATGCATGTTTCATTTAAAACGACAGACAAGGTACTACGGTTAAGCTTTTTATTTAATTTTTCTTGTGTTCGAACAAGAGCTTTCTTTTCTGGACAAAGAGTGTGTAAAAACTGTCCAAATGTTTTATATTTCTTTATATAATTAGACTATTTCTCCCCAAAGTAAGTAATAACGATAGCGAACACACAGTCAAAAATAACATACACATTTATTACAAAAACCAAATGCATATTAATTACAAACAAGACGAATCTTCACTTAGACATATTATAAAGAAATGAACTACCCCAATTGACCTGAATAAAAAAATCAAATGAATTATCTATTATAAAAAATTTAAGACAGCCAACCTTATCCTCAAAAATAAAAACACACCAGCTAAGTGAAAATTACAAAGAACGAACATTATCTATGAGTTCAAATGCCCCTTAAGTAACTGTGTGTCTGATCAAACTGGACTATATAAACTACGAATGGGAAGACGCGGATCTTCTAAGTGAGCTTACATTGTAGTCGCTGAAATGAAGAAAAAGAGGAATTTACCTCACCTCCACTCGAGGTGGGATGCAGCACGAGGCCTAAAGGAAAAAAGAGAAAGAGGCAAGAAGTTTCCCAGTATTTATAGTATAGGGAGAGTGACCCCTGGGGAAGAATTGGGGAACTAAGGAGGAGGTAACTCCGACAAGCATGACAATCCCTATCAAACACCTTCGACATATCTAAAGCAACAGCTCGAACTTCACTATTCTTATCTAAAGCATAACACTCTTTCAGCAATAACTGTTATCAGACCTAGAAAGGCGAAAGCCATATTATTTGTCTGAAAGAAAACACTGAAACAAATTCCGTGCTTCTAGGACTTTGCTAAAATTAAGTAGAACATTAATAGGTTGATATTTAGAAGAATCAGAGGATTCGGCTGAGTTGTTAAAACCAGGAACTGTAGAATAGGATTTCCAACAAGCCGGAATGTAGGAGGCATCTATTGTCGGATTCAGGAGCATACTACTTTAAGACTATTGCAGGGATGCCTTCAAGTATATGTGCTTTGTGGGGATCCAGTTTAGAAAGGATAGCAGAAACCAAAGACGGAATTCTATGCATATCACTCGATAGAGACTCAGTTCAGATATTCTAAATGAATCAAGAGTAGAACTGCAAAGAATTTATGAGCAAAGCATTCTGTATTTCATCCTACATCTTTTGTCTGGGTATCGATTGTTTGTTTTGCATTAAAGTATTTCATATTACGTTTTTATCTATGTTGTTGGGTGTCTGCTCCGCCATAACGTATTTCATTCTACGTCAATTGTCTATGGCGTCGATTGTCTGCTTCGTCTTAAAGTCTTTCATCTTATGTCTTTTGTCTATCGTGTCGATTGTCGGTTTCGCCTTAAAGTCTTTCATCTTATGTCTTTTGTCTATCGTGTCGATTGTCTGTTTCGCCTTATAGTCTTTCATCTTATGTCTTTTGTCTATCGTGTCGATTGTCCGTTTCGCCTTAAAGTCTTTCATTTTATGCCTTTTATGCATTTTGACGGCTGTTAGATTTCACCTCAAATTATTTAATCTCAAATTCTTTAGCTATGGTACCAGCTTTTTGATTTCGCATAAGCGGATTTCATCTTTTATCCTTGGATTCGGCTGTCAGATTTCATTTTACGTTTTTCATCTAAGGTATCGACTGTTAAATTTCGCCTTGATTCATCCAATCTTAAATCTTTTATCCATCGCATCGGATATTTGAGTTCGCCTTATTAACTAATTTTTTATAACTCTTTGTTTTATTGATCAATGATAGCTGTTCACTGATTGAATGAAAAGTACTTGTTAACTGATTGGACGAAAAGTATTTGTTAAATGATTGGATGAAAAGTACATTTTAATTGATTCGACGAAAAGTACTTGTTAATTGATTGGAGGAAAAGTACTTTTTAACTGGGTGGGTGAAAAGTACTCGTTAACTGAATGGATGCAAAGTACTTGTTAACTGAATGGATGCAAAGTACTTGTTAACTGATTGGAGGAAAAGTACTTTTTAACTGGGTGGGTGAAAAGTACTCGTTAACTGAATGGATGCAAAGTACTTGTTAACTGATTGGATGAAAAGTACTTGTTAACTGATTGGATGAAAAGTACTTGTTAACTGATTGGATGAAAAGTAGTTATTAACTGATTTGATGAAAAGTACTTGCTACGAAAAGTACTTGATAACTATTAACAAATTAAAATAAAAAATATAATACATGTTTCTTTTTGTTCACTTTGTGCGTCTAAATTTAATTGATAAGGAAAAATAAAATGAACTTTTAAAAGTTTTTTTTAGACAAATAAAGCTTAATACGGTTTATTTTAACAAGGTACCTCCATTCAATTTTTCGATACCTAAGGTTTAAAATGAATTTTTAAAAATGAAAAAGTATTCTTAAAGATTTTATTTTACCATTAATTAAAAGCTAAAGGATTAAATTTATTATTTCTAGTAACTAAAATATTCTGGTATATTTGAATTTTGCAAGAATTTTGCAAGAAATCAACGTGTGTTTTCCTCGGGAAAAGTGCATAATAAAACAAACCTTTTTTCTCTTTTCCAACGCTGTCGTAAAAAAAAACAAGATATTTAACCAAAATTATCAACGTGCTAGAAAAGAGAAAAAAATTTCAAAAAATAATAAAAAAATACTTTGTTCTTCCCTCTTAATAATAATATAAATATTTTGATGACAAAACTTTGTTTTCGTTGAGTTATGGACCTTTTCTTTATCATGCTATGCTGCTTTTTTACGCGACCTAGTAGAGGTACCTAATTTTAACTGACTTAAGAAATCTGTATTCGTTCGATAAATCAAAGAGGCTTTCTTTCTTATTTCTTTCATTTAATTCATCCAAGTCGTGTGAATAAACTGTCTGGAATTGTATTGATTGATTATCGAAATACTTGCCTTGAAGGCAGAGTTTGACTTGAAGGCGGCATTGTGCGATCAAAAGAGTCATTTCTGCCAGGAGTCTCAGGTTTTCATAACGTGAACAACGTGAGAGAAACACACAGAAACCTTGAGAGAGAAGGGAGAAGGGCAGAGAGGAAGGAAGGAAGAGAGAGAGAAGGGGGAACGGCAGTGAGGAAATAAGAGAGATAGAAGGGAGAACGACGGGGGGAAAGGAGGAGAGAAAAGTGAGAAGGGCAGAGAGGAAGGAAGAGAGAGAAGGGAGAACGGCAGAGAGGAAGGAAGAGAGAGAAAGGAGAACAGCAGAAAGAAGAAGAAAAAGAAGAAGAAGAAGAAAAAGAAGAAGAAGAAGAAAAAGAAAAAGATGATGAAGAAGAAAAAGAAGATGAAGAAGAAAAAGAAGAAGAAAAAAAGAAAAAGAAAAAGAAGAAGGTGAAAAAATGAAAAGCGGAAGAAGAAATAGGAAAGAGAAAGAAAAGAAAGAAAAAGAGAAAAAGAAGTGGAATTAAAAGAAGAAATAAAAAGAGGAAAGAAGAAAAAGACAAAAGAAAGAAAGAAAAAGAACAAATAAGAAAGTGATAGAAAG